CAGCATGCGTATTTTTATACAAGTCAAGGTCAGTATAGATGTTCTACAATATATTTTAAAGAGTAATATATCGTATATATACTTTAGTATATATTAAAATTGAAACATCTTTTTGGCATTGTAATAGTTATTGGTTCAGACTTCGTGATGTCATCTGCGACTGCGTGCCATTGGAAATTGCTTCTCTTCTACTCAAACAGCTTCTTCTCCTGCACTTCCCCATCTGTAGAACTCCCTTCCCCTTACTTGCTTCCCCAATTACTATAATCTTTAAATATTCAAGTGTAATGTCAATCAACACCTGACACTCTGTCTTTTTCTATATCCTGTATCGCCTCTTTACTTTTGTTCTCAATCCTCTGGAACCAGCAAATTCTAAGAACTAATAACATAGATTGAATTAACAATGAAGAATTCTTCACTAAACAGAAGTGAACCTTATGCAACACTTCACGAGCACCTTATATTTACAATCCAGAAGAGACAGTTGATTTCTTTAGGGCATATAATGAGGAAAGAGGACTTGGAGAATTTAACACGCAGAAGACATATTAAAGCCAAGTGTAAGAAAGTGGAACAGTGAATCATTTTTGTAAATGGAAAAGAGAAATGATACAAAGCGTGGTGCTCAAGGGTAAAAATTACTTAAAGCGGCAAAATAGAGGAAATTGTAGAGAGCCATGTCCACTCATGTCCTGAAAAAAAAAGAAGCTTACATGCCGTTTTACCTAAGTATTAACTTTTAAAACTTTTAATATCTGTCTCTATTTCTGAGATGGGGTATTGTAATTATTTACATTATTCAGGCTGTTGTCCTCATCTTTATTGCGATGTTCACATTTCCGCTGTTGTACGCTCCGGCCTTCTGCAGGTGATTGAAATTTCAAACTTAATTATTAATTTTGTCCACCGGAGTACATTGTTCTAGTTCCATGTGCCATGCCTCTTCCGGATGTCTCAGTTATCTCCCTTTTAACTCAACTCCCCAAGTTTTTGTTCACCACTGCCGTAGCCAAGTATTGAACTCACAACTTTTTCGGTCAAGTCACTGGATCCAACTAACGGGCCATGTGTCTTTGAGAACATCAGTGTATAAATTTTTTGTGGTGGTGGTGGGGGCGGGTATTAAACTTAATGTCTCAGTAATCATTTTTTTTACCAGAGCTCATATTGCAATTTTGTTGATATTATTGCTTATCTCTAGCTCTCCGTGTTACTAGTTCCCATATTTTGTTCATTTCTATGTTTGGCCGGCTTAGGAGATTCTTGCGGCCTATGTGCTGATTCCTTAAGTTTACGTATTTTCCAGTGATGTTCTCTGTCTATTATTTCAATCCCATCTCCCTTTTCCTTCCATATATAGTCACCTACGCCCCTCGTGTCAAGCTTTTGGCCAGTCCCTGATTTATATTTCTTGCCACAGTTGCACAGGATGGCGTACACACAGTCCATAGTCACGTTCTCTTCTATGGGGGTCTTACTCGGAAGTGATGTCTAAAACTTTTATAAAAACACTACAGGTCTCATTCCATATATATATATATATATATATATATATATATATATAGAACCCATTGAAACGCACACACAAACTTACCAGACTCCATGCGAAACATACTAGTAGAAAATACAAACATAGTAACCTCATCCACATGTAAAAAAGGATTTAAAACAATGGAAACCTTAATAATAAAAAAGGAAAAGCCAAAACTTAATAATGTTAACTACGAACACGGCCACAATGTGATGACAGTGTTCGGGAAATAAAACATCCCTATAACTCGCCAAATATACACGCAACCGATACACTCTGAAAAGCACTCAGAATTATAGAACCTTTGAACAGTTTCTGCACACTTTGTGTCCAAAAAAGAAGGAAACACTTGTCTTGTTCGAACAGAAGAAAATTTAAATAAAAAGCTTCATCGTAGTATCTTGTCTGTCGTCTTTAATGAAACATGCATAAATGAAGAATTACTGCCTAAATACACACATACATACATACATACATACATACATACATATATATATATATATATATATATATATATATATATATATATAAGTGAACATTGAAGTCAACACTCAAAGGCGCCTCTGAGTGTTGACTTCAATGTTCACTTTTTATATTTATATTTACATACGCTCTATCTCTGATATTAAGCACTTTTTCCCATAAATATGGCACACCTTTAAAACTATATTTCTTCACACACACACACACACACACACACACACACACACATATATATATATATATATATATATATATATATGAAAGGATTTTTTTTATCTAACATTATTCATTATTACTATAAACGTTATCTTTAGTGGATACACGTATACTCCTACCTAGTGGTTATAATACTATGTCTTGCTTAAGCTCGTCGCCATGACTTTATTAGAATTCTTCCCGACTGACTCCAACGCACTAATATTTATTTTTGTAAAAAATGTGTCACAAGGCCAAAAGTGGAGATGGGGGAAGGCTGCTTATCTAAACTCAGCTAGCCACAATCACTGACCCAAAGTATAAAATATTCCTTGCGCCAAAATACCATATTTTTCCTTACCATTCTTACTACAAGCACCATAATACCTCAAAATCTCTATGAAGGCCAAATTAGCTCCCATATGTCGGTGATGGGTGGGGAATAGAATGACAACATTTAAAAATGAAAACCCTAATGAATATTTACAATATGCATAATACTATATATGCAAGAAACTTCTACTGACTCACTTTGAGTTCTTTATATAAGGCGTCTTGTCTTGTTCATTTGTGTTACAGGAGGTGTCTTATTTACTCCATAACAATCCTAAACAGTAAAATTAATAACAACCTGCCTAAATTGGGAAGTACTATAAAGAAAAATTGAACCTCCAATAGGAATCGAACCTGCATCCTTTTTTTTCCATCAGGGAATCTACTTCCTTAGCCAAATCGTGACGCTAACAGTCTGGATACAGAGAGACCAGCCGGTCAGGGCAAGGCTTGAATGGAAAGCACATTTCTCGTTGTGACTTCTATGCATTTATATCTACTAGTTTCAGTACCCTGAAACGTTAACAACAGCCATTTTCGAAAGAACTTCAATATACAACTATTAATCGTCATCGTCTCCTCAAATCGTGATCTTCACTTGTCCTTTTTTCTCCTCAATAACGTTTTCTCGGTTTCTTTCATTATCAGTAACTATCTCGCGTCTTAGTTGCTTTATCGCCTTCTTGATTTTAAAAAAAGTCAGAAAAGAATGCTTCTGATTTTTGAGATCAATAATCTTAAAATTTAATGAATGTAATGATTTTTAGAAAAAATGAGAAAGCTTACCTCAGTGGCATTGCCATAGATTGAAGACAAAAAATCAAATTTCGTTTTCTGTTTAGTACTCAGTTTCAAAAGAAACTAGGGGTTGCAGATACTCCCAAAGCTACTATAGAGTACTAGATAATAATCGAAAAATATGGCCATGAAAAATGCTGATCTTAGTCTATGTTTAATATTATAAATTGTCGCTATACAATTAATCAAATTCATTAGATTTGTTTTATACCGAAAATAAAACCGAGGCTCGAAAGAATCTTTCATACCAAATAATAGCAGTTAACTAATCCAAAGATATTGGTCAGGTTTTGCTTAGTATACAAATGAAATTTTAGTACCTTTGAAGTTGTAAAATTCATGTGATTTATTTTATAAAAGACAAGAAAACCGTCCTCAAGGAATATACCAGCTTGACCAGAAAATCTTGACTCCTTTAGGAAGCGAAAAGAAAATAAATCTTAAATCTCTGTCTGGTACAATTTCAAGGAGTATTACATTTCAAGCTCGTTTCACACGGTTGATGACAACGCTAAACTGTTTTGCCAGCAGCTTGACCGCGTGTACGACAAACTAAAGAAGGAGTATCCTGCTTTGGTCAATCGAGGTCGGGCTTTGATTCAGCAAGACAATTCGAGGCCGTACACTACCAGCTTGACTAAGGAGTTCAAACAGATGAACGATGTTGAGATTCTTCCACATCCATCATTCAGTCCTGATGCACCTCCGAGTGACTCTGGTTTATTCCGCTCAATGGCACACTTCCTCTTTGACCAGCGATTCAACACTTTGGATGCAGTGAAGGAAGCTTATTTATAGTTTTTTGATTCAAAGCTAACGGACTTGTATCTAGTCTGTGACCAGCGATTCAACACTTTTGATGCAGTGAAGGAAGCTTGTTTGTAGTTTTTTATTTTATTCAAAGCTAACGGACTTGTATCTGCGACAGATTCAGATGCTGGCTGATTGCTGACAGATCGTCAAGAATAATGGATTTTATTTTGAAGAATAAATGTTGTTGTTGCTCCATAAAATTTTATTGTTTTCTTTTCGCTTGCCATGTCAGGATCAGACCAATGCAGTAACATTATTGTACTGACCTAACGAAGGCACAGTGGGATTATGGATAGCGGCTCGGATTGATTTCCAGTCGAATCCATTACATTCACTTTGGGAATGGTATGAATCCTCTCAACGGCAACTGTTCCGACAAGCTACTTTCGCTGGTTCCAGGACTTCATGAATTTAAACGTGCTACCAGACTGGCATCTCAGTCCCACCCTTTCACCGTCAAAACGGTTAAATATAAGCGCCTCTTCTACTCAAACAGCTTCTTCTCCTACACTTCCCATCTGTGGAACTCCCTTCCCCTTACTTGCTTCCCCGATGACTATAATCTTTAAATATTCAAGTGTAATGTCAATCAACACCTGACACTCTGAGCTTGTTCACCGTCTTTTTCTGTATCCTGTATCGCCTCTTTACTCTTGTTCTCAATCCTCTGTAACCCCTTGCGTGCTAGTGTCACTCCCGCCTTGCTTGGGGTGAATTGCTTAAAAATATAAAAAAATGGGTATTTGTGCATAAGTGAATATAAAGAATTCGACTGGAATTGGAACTCAAATATCCGATTTTCAATTCCGAGACGTTATCCATTACACCGCCCGCACACCCACGTTTACAGCACCTGCTATTCCGAAGTGGTCATCCAGCTAGGCACTGACCAGGATCGACTTTGCTCAACTTCGGTGATCGTACGGGAACCGGTGTTTCAATATGATATGGCCGTAAGCCCGCTGATGAATGTGAATGGGTGAAAATTTTTGCTTGAACAAAGCAATAAAAGTAGGGATTAGTTAAGGTAACATTATATCACCAACATTCACCTCTAACGCACGGGTTAACATAAAAACTTGAAGGTGTAAGGGTACAGAAGGCTCTTATCTCCCTTTGGTGGAGATAAATCAGTGGGTCACATTACGGCCGCTTTGTGGCGTCACTCCATACAGTAACCTAAGCGGCAGTCATTTTTAAGTTCGTGGACAACAACCAAACGATAAGGTTGCTTTCTTCTAGCCTAGGCCAAAGGGCCCAGGCTGAGGCTTAATCTTCCCCCCTCCCAACAGCTTACAATCACATAGTGGTGTTTCCTTTTTTTGCCCGTTTAAGTCTGGGGTACTAAAAATGGCTTCTTCAGGCCAGGAGTATCTCCAAATTATATGGAAGATGTTTTCTTTTTGTAACACCTTATACTTTGCATTGCTGTTTAGTTATAGATGATATATAGTTCTCCACCTGGGACACGTGCATATATGTATGTATGTAGTTTTGAGTATATCGTAGTATTATAAAAGTCTTTCTGAGAACAAAGCTTGTTATTCTTTTAACATTTCGACCAATCCTTTCCGTCTTGTTTGTGAGCTACGGTGTTGTAGCATCACGTTTATAACAATGCCCATAACGAGAGAAACTAGGAGAAGAAATCTTTCTTCTAAGCGCCGCCATTACAAAGGCATCACTCATACACCGCATTGGGTATTTAAGAAATCTATAAACGAATTAAATGAGTCCTTTTCTTCCCCATCCACCCCCCTTGCCAAACCTGGACGTTCGTGCCTGTAAAAAAGCGGAGTGTCAAAAGGGCGGCTTTACCTTGACACCGCTATAATTTTAACTATCGTCATTCCTCGGCAATGTTTGTTTTTTTAAAAGGCAATGATTATAATTGTAATAAAACCTAAATATATGATGAAAGTGAATTTATACATTTTTCTTGTTTTTGAGAATTAAAAAATATTAAACTTTATTTCTTTTTTATTTTCTTTATTAATTTCTTTATTTACGAGAATAATTTTATATTTACAACAAATGCTAAAACCTAATATAATTGTATTCAAATTAACCAGCGTAATGCAATATTTATCATTTACCAATTCATAAAGAAATAAATACAAAAACAATTTTTTTATTCATAAATTTATAAACATTTACTAAATTATCAAAAATCTGTGAACCAACTACAAGGAAATCCTTATTATTTACCATTTTATAAAAATGGAATCGATGTTTTGCCAACAATTTTGATAAACAATTTAATAGAAAAATATGGTAAATAAACAATCTAATGAATAAATATTCAATATTCTTTATTGCCAATTGTCAAGAACAAAGAAAATGTATAAATTTATTTTCATATGATTAGGTTTTATTAAAATTCTAACGATCGCTTTAAAAAAAAATTATCGAGAAGTAAGTTAAAAATGATAGCGGTGTCAAGGGAAAACCGTTATTTTGATACTCCGTTTGTTTTGCTAGCAGGGAGATCAAATATCCCCCCCCAACGCATACACACACTTTTCTGTATTTGCACGGACTGGAGCCATCTGTGTTAAAATTGTACTGGTAAATAGTGCAGATTTAATGTCACGAGTTTCTGTTTTGCTGCATTATCGCAGTGCCAATCAGCGGAAGTAACTTGTGGTGGGAATAGTCAAGCGGCGGTTCCCGGGACAGTCCGTAGAATTTACCGGACTTTAGCGCGCAGATTTTTGCAAGTTTCAGATTTTATTACTTAATTACTTTTAATTTTTTATTACTTAAACTTCATTTTTAGTGGATACTCGTATCTGAATAGACGCCCTGTTTATTTATTAAGCAGTGTTTATTCGCACTTTGTTTACGCTAGGATAGGAAACTGAGCAGATATGTCTATTTCGAGAGTCAGAGACAAATCTGTATTTAAAGGCGTTATTCAACCTTTGCTTCGTGGTCAAGACATACGTCAGACCTGTTCGTATCCTGATGGAATACGTATATTTTTCTCTGATAAAATTTCTCGAATCTGTAGACGAAGATAAATAAATATCCTGTTTAATAAATAAACGGGGCGTCTACTCAAACACTGTCGGATTAATAAATAAAAAAAATCCATCCCTTTCATGGCAGTTACAGCTAAATGGGTAAAACAAGTCTAAAAATATAAATATATACGAAAAAAATAAATAAAATAAAAAAAGCTTATATAAAATATGTCACGCCCCGATCAAAGTTCTGTCCTCATATGCAACATTTTTTCTAAACAAGAAGAGAGGAAAGTGGCACCAACAAAAATGTGGTTCTACAGAAGGATATTGAGAATTCTATGGACGGCGCGAGTAAGCATCAAGGAAAGTTTAAGGAAAATGGTAGAACATTTATACTGTATATCAGAAAGAGATAACTATAATGAGGAAGAAGGGTTTGGAGAAGCTAATCCTCACAGGGTATAGTGCGGTCAAGGGAGAAGGAGAGAGTCACCTATATGACCAGCTTGTGCGAATGGATGTCGAAACGGAGTGCGAGAGATTTGGCAAAAGTTGCTGAGGACTACAAGGGATAGGAAGCTGTGGAGAGCCATGCTCTCCCACGTCCTGAAGGGACACGGCACAAAGAAGAAGAAGAACAACAACAACAACAACAGCACTAATGTAATGGGTATCGGCACAGAAAATGAAAGACGAGTTCAAATTCTGGACTAGTCCATTGTGTTCATTTCTGGAATCAAATTCTGGACTAGTCCCTTGTATTCCATTTTGCAATCAAATTCTGGACTAGTCCACTGTGTTCCATTCTGGAATCAAATTCTGGACGAGTCCATTGTGTTCATTTCTGGATTCAAATTCTGGACGAATCCATTGTGTACATTTTTCATGCAAATTCCTTTTAAATAGGCCTGAATCCGTTTCTTCAGTTTAGATGAAATAGCAGGGTAGACATGACTCTCTAAGCTTAGATGGCAATCATCCTATGAGAAGGAGAACCCACTCCACTATTTTTCCAAAGAATGCATGTCAATTCACAGATAATAAAGAAAAGGAACCCGTGGAGGGCCATGATCGCATATGCTCTGAAGGGATATGGTGTTAAAACATAGAAATAATAATCTAATGAATTTATATGGCTAAATGATTTGTCTAAAAGAAAATCATATCGAAACGTTAATTTATTTGAAATGTTGTGTCATCGAAAACTACTGAAAATATTTTCATGATTGTATAATGATGTTACAAATTTATATGGATAAAGGTGTCTTTTAAAAAATATACTATGACTAATACACAAGTTCAATGAATGTTATCGTAACCTCATCGGAAGACATTGAAAATTATTGATTGTATAATAATGTTATAAATTTATGGATAAAAGATTTGTGGATAAATGTAATACACGATTTTGCTGAAATTTATCGCAACGTCATCTATAAAAAAAAATATGGTTTGTTTTGTTTTACTGCATATCAACACCTCAATCGGTTATTTAATACCGACAAGGTTTTTATTGCTGGTAATATTTCTTTTTTCAAAAATGTATTGCTGGTAAAAATCTTTCTTCGAAAATTTATTGCTGGTAATAATATTTTTACAAAGTATTTCTGTGAATAAAGCCCATTTTTACACTTTCATAGTGTTATAAAAAATATGTTTTAATAGGACAGATACTATTAAATTGCATGAAAAAATAGTCATCTCGATTTCAGTCAGTTTCTCACCGACGTAATGTGGCTTCCCTGTGTCTTTCCTACAAATATTTCCATGCAAACTGACGCGTTTTTTTTTTTTGTTCCTCTGGTACCCCGAATACATGTACATGAATTTAAATGTGCTACTAGATTGGCATCTAGGTCCCACCCTTTTCTTTTCTTGAACTTCCAACCTGTGTGACTACCTTCCGTTTACTCGCTTTCCTGATAACTACAATCTTCAAAAAATTAAATGAAACGTCAATTGCCATCTTCTGTCTTCTTGCATCCCGTTCATTTCTTTTCTTCAATCCTTCCTTTTCTCCGTTTCATTCTCTTTCAGACGCTGTAACCCCTTGTGTGCTAGTGGCATTACCGCCTTTCTTGAGGTTAAATGATTAAAAAAAATAAAATGTTACTAACACGGTTGCTTTGAAAAGGAGATCACTAAAATGAAGCCATACGTTTTAAACATTCTGTGGCAAAGATTTAAAAAATGACGATCAAATTTGGTGTTGTCGAAACCCCGCCGATGTCAAGTAATAGGTTTGATTTGATTTGATGGTAATTCTAGTTTGATTGGTTTATATTTACAACGTGCTAAAATTTTGATTGGTTTATATTTACAACGTGCAAAAATTTTGATTGGTTTATATTTACAACGTGCAAAAATTTTGATTGGTTTATATTTACAACATGCTGAAACATGCAACGTAAGAAGATACTTCTAAATTTGATATGCGAATGTCTTTGGTAAACATAAAAGTTTTAATTCATATACGAATGTCTTTTATAAGCGTATCAGTTTATCCCGTAAAAATGTCTTTTCTAGACCTGTGCGAATTTATCCCAATTTGAGAACGCCTGTTCTGAAAACATGAATATTTTGTCTAAAGATCCCAGAGAACCAGCTTCGCCTTTCTCAGTCGCTGCGACCTTCGACCTTTCGAATTTGAGAACTTTTCGAAGTAAGTAAAGTTCTTTTGTGGTTGAAATTGATTTACATGAACTGTTCTAAGAAAGTAAGTAAAATTCTTTTGTTGTTAAGGACAAAAATTCTTTGTCATGCACTGTTGGCTTCTAAGAGAAAACAGATTTTGTATTTCAAAGAATTGTCGATCTACCCTGATAGTTTCTGGCGCAAAAGGGAAATTTTGTACAAGGCTTTTTTTTTTTTTTTTTTTGGTATTTTGTATCATTTGCATATTGTAAAAGTAATTTTTTGTCATTTTAATAAATGCTTGTTTCGCTACAAATTTCACTTTTCCGTTAGTGCCTCCATAAAAGGGTGGAT